GGCAAAGATACATTGTTGATGAATTTGTCACTTCCAGTACGCACTGGCGTATTTCTCATCATTTGGTCCATAGCCTAGCATGAGCATCCAAGAACTTTCAAAGTCTTAGCTCTTTTGTTGCCACAATGTTGCAGACCCACTCATTCTGAGTCCTATTGCTTTTTTAACCCTTCAAATAGAAACTTCCAAGCTTGGGATAAACATAGAAGAATAACAGAGATGGGAAAGTTGAATGAAGTTTAGCAGTAGGACAGAGTCTGAAACAATGAGAAAATGATTATAGAAGGGAGTTGCATCCATTTATTTACACTCTAAATTCTTCCCAAAAAACCGTTTAAAGTTGCTTAAAAGACACAAGGTTGAGATTTTGCACTTTCCTATCAGGATATTACACTGCAGTTTTTAAAAGGACAAAGGGATGATGCAACACTAAAGTTTAGCCTTAAGTTTCTTGGTGGTCGAGGCAAAGGGGGGAGTCCTTGAGTTAAAGAGCGCCAATGAGCTGATAAAAAGAAACATAAAGTTTGTAAGGAGATAGTTTTTTTTCCTGGGACTAAATTCTAAGAGAAATTCATTGAAATAAAAAAATTAAAAATTAGATACTGTATATATTAAAATATGTGTATTTATAAATATATAATATATTATATATATTAATATTTTGCCATATATTAATTATATTGCATATTATCTATTATATATCAATTATATTTTATTATATATTAATCTATTTAATACATATTAGTATTAGATGTTAATATAACATATTATATATAGTGTTATATTATATGTAACATATAATATAACATATGATATATACAACATATAATATATATAACATATAAATATTATATAAATATATATATAGGTACTATAATGTATAATACTAAAGTATACATATTTTGTGAAGCATATCGTGTCATCTTTATCTTACAGATGAGGAAACTGAGGGTCAGAGAAGTTACATTGACTGGACGCAGCCAGATTTTGAACTCTGAATTAAAAGCCTACACTAGCTGGTCACACCACACTGCCTCTCAGTGGACACTCATGTGTATTGTTTGTGTTTTTTTGGACTGTGGGTTCATTTTCAATAGGGCTTTATCTGCAGCAATATTCTGCAGCCTGAACTGAGGCATAGTCCATCCAGAATAGTTTTGCATTTCTATGTTAGGCACTTCACGTATGACTGACCCCCAAGGGCTTCTTTTTCTAGGATCTTGAGGTGGGAGCTTAGAGGATTGATTTGGGGCTTTTCCTCTTTTCTAATGGATGCATTTAGAACTATAAATTTCCCTCTCAGTTCTGCTTTAGCTGTGTCTGCTTTAGCTTAATAAGTTATTTTTTCATTTTCATTCTCTTCAATGTATTTTTTAATTTCTCTTGATCCTTCCTGTCTGAGTCATGGATTATTTAAAAGTATATCATTTAGTGTCCAAGTATTTGGAGATTTTCTTGTTATATTTCCATTGTTGATTTTCTATTTGATTCCATTGTGATCAAAGAACACACTCTATATGATTTTAATTCTTTTAAATCTGTTGAGGTTTGTTTTATGGCCCAGGATATGGTCTATCTTGGTATATGTTCTGCGGGTGCATGAAAACAGTGTGTATTCTGCGTTGTTGGGTGGAGACTTCCGTGAATGTTGATTAGATCCTGTTGATTGATGGTGGTGTTCAGTTCTACATCTTTGCTGATTTTTGCCTAGTTGTTCTATTAATTGTTGAGAGAGGGGCGTTGAAGTCCCCACCTATAACTGTGGATTTGCCTATTTCTCTTTTCACTTCTCTCAGTTTTGTTCTACGTGTTTTGCAGCTGTAAGTGCACACACATTTAGAATTACCGTTCTTGGTGGATTGATCCTAAAACGTCCCTTTCTGTCTTTGGTAATCTTCATTGCTCTTAGGTATACTTTATCTGATATTAATTATAATATTAATTAATTAAGCCACTCCTGCTTTTCTTTTATCAATTTTTGCATGCTGTATTACCTTTTTCCATCCTTTTACTTTCAAGCTACCCATATAGTTAAATTTGAAGTGAGTTTCTTGTAGACAGCCTATGGTTAGGTCATGTTTCTTAATGCATTTTGCCAGTCTCTCTTTTTTAATTAATATACTTTATTTGAGCACTTTTACGTTTACAGAAAAATAGAGCAGAAAGTACAGAATTCTCATATAGCTCCTAACCCCTATCCCCAGTTTCCCCTTAGTAACATCTTCCATTAGTGTGGTATATTTGTTACAATTGATAAGCCAATATTGATACATTATTTTAAACTAAAGCCCGTAGTTTACATTAGGATTCACTCTTTGTGTTATCTATTCTATGAGTTTTAACAAATCTGTAATGACATGTAGCCACCATTATAGTATTATACAGAATAGTTTCACTGCCCTAAAAATCCCCTATGCTTCATTTATTCAACCCTCTCTCTTTCTCTCTTAGTCCCTAGCCAATTTTTTTCTTTTTCTTTTTTTTTTGCTTGAGGAAGATTCTCCCTGGCTAACATCTGTGCCAATCTTCCTCTATTTTGTATGTGGGTTGCCTCCACAGCGTGGCTCCTGACAGCAGTGTAGATCTGCTCCTGGGAACTGAGCCTGGGCTACTGAAGCAGAGCACACCAAACTTAACCACTAGCCCACAGAGCTGGCCCCCAGTTTCTATTATTTAATTGGTGTATTGAGACCATCTATGTTGCATGTAATTATTGATATGTTAGGGCTTATGTCTATCATTTTTTTTCCTGTTTGTTCAGTTTTTTTGTTTCTCTATTTCTTTTTCCTGTCTTCCTATGGGTTACTTAAACATTTTTTGGAATTCCATTTTGATATATCTGTAGTGTCTTTGAATGTATCTCTTTTTTTTTAAATAGACTTTTTTAGGGCAGTTTTAGGTTCACAGCAAAATTGAGTGGAAGATACAGAGATTTCCTGTTTACTCCCTGCCCTCACACATACATAGCCTCCCCCATTATCAACATCCTGCACCATTTGTTACAATTGACGATCCCACACTGACACCTTATCAGCCAAAGTCCATTGTTTATATTAGGGTTCATTCTTGGTGCATATATCAGCTATTATTTCTTCAAATAAATTTTCTGACCCTTTGTCTCTCTCTTCTCCTTCTGGGACACCTATAATATGAATGTTAGTGTGCTTGATATTGTCCTAGAGTTCCCTTAGACTGTTCCCATTCTGTATCATTATTTTTTCTTGTTTCTGTTCAGGTTGCGTGATTTCCTCTAGTCTTTTGTCTAGCTTCCTGATCCATTCTTCTGTACCCTCTACTCTGCTATTTAGTCCCTCTAGTGAATTTTTCATTTCCAGTATGGCACACTTCATTTCTGATTAGTTCTTTTTTATCTTTTCCAGTTCTTTGTTGATGAGCTCACTGTGTCCATCCAGTCTTCTCCCAATATCTGTGAGCATCCTTATGAGTTTTTGTTTGAACTCTTTGTCAGGTAGGTCATTTATTTCTGTTTCATTTAGTCCTTTTTCTGGGGTTTTGTCCTGTTCCCTTGCTTCAAATGTATCCCTTTGTCTCCTCATTATGCCTCTTTCTCCGTGCTGATATCTATGCATTAGGTGAGTCGGCTATGTCTCCTGATCTTGGAGAAATGGCCTTAGGTAAGAGATGCCTTTTGAGGCCCAGCCATGTGCTTCCCTCTCGTCACCAGTACAAATGATCCAGGAGTGACCCTTTTGTGGGCTATTTGTGTCCTTCTGCTGTGACAGGGTTTCTCTTAATGCAGGTACCCAGGGAGTCTAGTCTTTCCTTCCTTGGCCAGCTGTTTGTAAATCTGGTTTGGGGAACCTCAGCACCATTGGCTCCAAGGTCTAACAGCACACTCCTGTTGCAGTTTTCCTGTTAATTGGGTAGGTACCCAGTGTAGCTGGCTGCTAGGCTCAGGGGCTTACAGTTGCTATAGGCCTCAGACCTGTAAGGCTATTGTCAATTCTCTTAGGAGTGTAGCTGAGTGGGGCAGACCCAAGGCACTGGAGGACTCAATTGTTTCAGGCTTTGGAAGGTGGGGCTGATCCTTTTTATGGCTATTTCTGAAGACCAGGTCTTCTGCCGCTGATAAGCCTCACCCCCCACAGGACCACACACACCATCCACACAGTCCTGTCCATGCACACTTCCCTCCCCCGTGGAGTGTAACCTAGTGCCCCACTGCAGAGGCCCCCACCTCTCCACCAATGCCCCCCACACTTCACCTGGTCCTTACACAGGCCTTGTCCCACAGAGGCAGACACCCTCACCTGCATGCTGAGGATCAAGGCCCCCAGTGAATGCAGGCCAACAAGTAGCCTGAGGGCTTGCTGTTCAGCAGGGCCGGTCCCTAGGGTGGGAGGCCTACCCTGACTGAACAGATTAAATCTGCTCTCTAATGGGTGTGACAGACCTTCAATGGTGTCTGCCAGGGTCTGTGTCAGCATGCCTGGACTAGCTCATGACAATGGCCACCACCAATGTCTCAGTCTGTGGAGAGGTTGCACCTCTCACCAAGATTCACCCAGAGCCTACCAGGTGAGTCTTCTGAGTCCTTTGAGACCAAAGGACTGTCAGCCTTCTCTCTGTTGGTTTTCCATTGCTAAGACAGGTGACTTTGTGCATGGGACTTAAATGGCCAGTTCTTTCATCTGATAGCTTTTCTGCAGGTGTCCTTGCTGCAGTTAATACCAAGTGAAGCCAGATAGTAACACCCTCGTCTCAGTTGTGCTGAGTCTGAAGGATACTTATAGTCCTCTCAGTTGTGCTGAGTCTGAAGGATACTTACAGCAGTATTGGTCCCCACTCCAGACCTCACTCCTCAAGGGACAGCTGCATACCGTAGGGTGGCTCCTGCCTGGCCAGATGAGAAACTCCGCTGTTCCTGAAGGTGGCTTTTTTTCTGGCCACAAGGAATTTCTGCCTCTTCTGCCTTAGTCAGGACAGTCCCTTGTTGTGGGGGTTCTTTTTATCAAGTTTTCTTTCCAGGGTAATTTTTCCAAAAATAGTTGTAACCGGGTTGTGTTCGAGGGAGGAGATGAGTTCAGAGTCTGCCTACACCGCCATCTTGTCGAGATGAAGTCTCCCTGCCCTTTCTGAGGCTGTTTTTCTTTCCTGTCCTTCCTAGCAATGAAAACAGGGGGGACAACAAAGCTGTGACTCAAGCCCACACCAGAGCCCAGAAAAATTTCCAAGACCCTAGAGATGCCCCAGGACTGGGGGCTTGTTAAATGCAGGAAGAAGGGTCTTCCTGGCACTCTGAGGATTAGCAGTGAATGATAGAAAAATCTGGAGTGACAAGAGTGAGGAAGCCAAAAGGCACCCAGGTCTGCCCACCTAGGACGAGATGCAGAGTTATCTCAAAGAGGGCGTCCCAGCCTGTAACAGCCCCCAGGGAGCTATGATGGGCCGAGCAGTGTGGGGAAGGGTCCATTTCATCTGCAGTGGCAATGGGAGAGGGGCTAACCCAGGGAAGACTCACTGTTTTTGTATTAATCACACTGGATGAGCAGTTGGATGGACAGCAGTTAAGATTTGTGTAAGCAGAGTTAAGTCTGTGATGGAGACGTGTTGAGGAAAACAGGCACACAGAAAACCAGTGTCTCGGAGAACCCCATCGGAACCATGCAATCCTCTTTCTTCTCTAGATAAACTGCAGAGGTTTTGAAAAGGCTGGGTCCTCAAACAAATCTTTGACCTGACTATGGAGCTACACTGGCCGCTCTCTCAGCTCTCCAGCTCCTGTTCCCCCTCACAGAGCTCACATCCTGGCAGAGCACTGACCTGGTAGGAGTCTGTGTTTGAAAAACTCTGTCTTTCCCTCCTGAGGACGGAAAAACTCAGTTCTCCACCTCAGGTGTGTTTCTCCTTTACATTCGCACAGAACACTTCACTTCTGACACTTACGGTCACCAAATGTGTGGGGTTTCTTCCCCACACCAAGCAATTCTCCACGACACCAGCTGGGTGCTCTACAGTTTAACTTGATTCTGACACTAGAGTGTCAGATCTCACAAATTTGGGGCTCAGTCTCACAAGACTGCTCCCACCCTACTTCAGACACAAATCACAAATAGTAGGTCCCCAGGTTACCCACAACTTCCATCCAGCTTTGCTACAAATTGGAGGTTCTCGCGACCCCCTCCTTGGGTTCCAGTAATTTGCTAGAGCGGCTCACATAACTCAGGGAAACATTTACTTAACGTTTACCAGTTTATAAAGGATAGGATAAAGGGTACAGATGAACATCCAGATGAAGTGATACATAGGTCCTTGTCTGAGAGGGTCCTGAGCACAGGAGCTTCTGCTTCCACGGTGTTGGTGTGAATAACTCTTGGAACGCAGATGTGTTCACCCACCTGGAAGTGCCCTGAACCCCATATTTTTGAGATTTTGTGGAGGCTTTCTTATGCAGCCATGGTCAATATTAACTCCATATTCAGCCCTCTGCCTTGACAAAGGAATGAGAGGGTGGGACAAAAAATTCCCAGCATCTACTCGTGGCTTGGTCTTTCTGTTGCCCAGTGCTCATCAGGACCCCACCTAAAGTCTCTTCTATAGAACAATAGACAGGACTGTCACCCAGGAAATGACAAGATTTCAGGAGAACTGTGCCAGGAAGTGGGGGCAGAGACCAATACATATGGTCTCACAGAGTCATATTGAAAGGTGGTTCCTTGCATGGCCAAGCCTGATTTTCGAGGTCAAGATGAGACCCACCTCTCAGTTCCCCTGCAAATGAAGCAGACAGGAGGACCCACCATGGTCCCCATTGGCCCTAGTTGTCCAGATTGACGCTCTCCATGCTCCCCAGGTACCTTACTTGTTCACACTGGGGACTGTCATGCCACAGTGAAAATATCATAAGGCGTGAAGAGGCTGAAGACACATAGAAACAACAGGAGATGCCAAATGCGTGCTCTTGAACATGTGCCTTGACGACAGTACAGGCAAATGAATTCAAATGCTCTCATTCCCGTTAAGACTGTGTGAAACTCTATGACCAACAGAGAATAGACGTTCTTTTCAAGTCCATATTCCAAGTAGTCAGAAAAATTAACACATAGTGATTGAAAAGTACAATCCCTAAGTCAATCCCCAATTCCCACTGACAAAAAGATGTCCAATGATGTCACCAGGGAATTCCTCTAGGACTCAGAGTGCCCTCTCTCTAAGGTACAGGCAAAACTTGAGGCTCCAGGGGCCTGGAGCTGGCAGGAGGAGGAAGGCAAGATCTACTCTAAGAAAGAGAATACATGTAGGGGAAACCACGGAGATGAGAAAGGGCTGCTTAAGACTGGACTCAAACCCAGGTCATGGACCCAGCCCCAGTGTCCACCTTAAAGGTCGGAACTTCAGCTCACCTTACCCACACCAAGCTTCCGGGTGGGACACACAGGCGTCTAAACTCTGGAGAGTGAAGACTGTCTATTTTAGGCAGAATAAGAAGAAATTGGGTGCAGACAATATAAAAGATTAAAGAAGATGAGAAAATGCTTAATTCTTGGGTTTGATACTACTGAATTGGTCTCTGCAAATGTGTGTATGTATGTGGGTGTGTACATGTGTGTCTGTGTGTGTGTGTGTGTATGTCTAGCATGTCCCATAAGTCTTTGTGAAGCTTTTCTAACTTCAGAAGTACAAATGCTACTAACATAGAACACAGTATTGGAGGTTTAATTACTTACATTTTTCTTATCCTTATTTTAAGTAGTAAATGATTAGTTTGAAGTTTTGTGTGAGTCGTTCTGAGAGAAGATGGTAAAGATTGACGGAAACAATAACAACGTTAATGTTCAAAACTAAATAAGTATAAAATTAAGTTTGACTTCCAGATTCCCGAAACTAAAAACTTATTACATGGACAAATGGAGTTGAGATTTGCACAACATGGATGAACCTGGAGGGCGTTATGCTCCATGAAACAAGCCAGACAGAGAAAGACAGACACTGCCTGGAGTCACTTACATGTGAACTCAAAAAACAATAAAAGAAAGGTCAACTCATAGAAACAGAGAATAGAAAAGTGGTGGCCAGCGGCTGTGGGGTGGGGGGAAATAAGGAGAGGCAGGTAAAAGGAGACAAACTTTCAGCTCCGAGATCCAGAAGGTCTGAGGATCTCATGTCTGATGTGGTGACTAGAGTCGAAAACACTGAATTGTATAATTGAGATCAGCTAAGAGAGCAGCACTTCAGCGTCCTCACACACAAACAAAGTCAATAAGTGAGGTGAAAACAACAATCAGAGTTGAGGACAGAGGAAAATCAGAGTAAGAATTCCTGGGAACTGGATCAAATTCCTGGGAGAACTTCAGACTTCCAAAGGACATGAGATAGGTCGGTTCAAAACCAAGAATCCAAGAGATGGAAGGAACCAGGTGATATCTGGCTTCCAGGTGGAAGAAATAGAAAACTGACTAAGGTCTCGAAGGCCCAGGAGGGTGGAGGGATGGAGTTGTAGGCCAGATGGTGGGGGAGGGGCTGTGGACCAGCCTGCTTCCCTGCTGTTCCCTCCCCAGCCCTCAGGACCCCTTTGTGACAAGACCACAGTTATGTCATGGGGTCCTGGGGTAATAATCTCCAAGCCACTCCCAGAGCTCAGTTGCCTGAGGGCAGCACTGCGTTTCAGACATGGAGAATCCTCTCATGTTTCTGAAAAGCGTTATTGCTACCTGGCTGAGCTCCAGTTCCACTTCCTGGGTGATTGGTACCATCCTCCCCTTCCTGTGTGGACTGGGGCTCTTGCTCCTGTTCCTTCCCTCCCTCCAGAGGAATCCACCCTCACGACCACCTTGCAAACGGAGACACATCGGGAAGGTAAGAAACCCTGGGCCAAGACCCACCAGAAGATGAGTCTTTCTTCTTTTCTCCTATGATTTCCACTTTTCTGAATCAACTAGAGGGACTCCGGGGATGGGAAAGAATAGAACATCATCCTTCTAGGGATAAGCCAGGCTGGGTGGGCAGGCATTAGAGTGGGTACAAGGATTTCCATCCGAAGATCTCAGAGCAGGAGTCCAGGTGTCTCAGAGGGCTGGCTCCAGGGAAACTCTCCAGTGCAGTGACCAGCGGTCAAGGAAGGGATGCTGAGTGGGATCTGTGTGGGAGGTCAGGCCCTGAGCACTGGTTCCCCAGCCGCCTTCCCAGGGAAGGTGTGTTGACCAGGCCTTTCCTCTATCGTGGCTGATCTGAGGGCAGTGCTGAGCCCCTGAGAGCCTCTGAGCAGGACCTGGAGTGGGGCTCTGGCCTCGGGAAGCAAAGTCCTCCCTGAGGAAGCTCAGAAGCTTCTGTATGTCTGAGAATGTGCGTGATTCTTGAACAGAGGAACAGTGATGAAAGAAATCCATGGTGGGTCTCACATAGAAAATCCTTCCTTATGTTCTTCAAAGAAGGAAGACACCAAATATTCATTTCATGTTCTATTATCCACTTTAAAAATGAGTAAAAGGAAAGAAACAGCCCAGAGCCCCAGGAGTTGAGTGTAGATGGTCATCTTGCTCATGAACACTGAGTGTCTACAGCTGGTCCAGAGAGAGGAGAGAGAGCCTTGGGTCTCAGCCCCTAGAGTTGCTTGTTTTTTCTCTCCTCTCAGCGTCAAGTGGAGCCGAGAGGGAGGAGCAGCAGGAGCAGGAAGAAAAGGGGAGCTTTGAAAGGTAAGCTTCTGCCTTTCAGTGCTGTGCCCCAGAGCTGGCCTCCACCTCCTGTTCCTGAGCGCCCAGCTCCATGGGCTGGAGGATGCCAGGGGCTGAGCCCGTCCCTCAGGAAACAGAGCCCTCAGGGAGGCTCCCAGGAAGGAGATGAAAACCTGAGTACTTGCCAGATTCTGTGCTGGGAATCAAGGCCCAGGCCAGGAGGGGTCTGGAAATGGGTGTTGCCCAGCAGGGGCATGTGGGCTGTGGTGGAGGTGGAAGCACTTTGTCAAGGACAAATCTCAACCCATCAGCAGCTTTGCCATCTCCATCAGGGATCCTGTGGCCTTGGACACTGGTGCCTGGGATCCAGAGTCTGACCTCCCAACAGTCTCCCTTTTAAAGGGACATTGCACGCAGCCTCCTGTAAGAGCCCTAGGCCCCCACCTTCGGCGCCGTGACCCAGTGTCCTGATTTCTAGCTTACAGAGCTGGTCGGAAGGGCCTGGCAGAAGTGTGGAGCCCGATGTCGCTTTTGCAAAGGTAAGGAACCTTGCCCTTCTCTCCTGGACTTCTTCCTCCCAGAGTCTCTGATGTGGCCCCAGGGCTGCAGGCAGCTGGGGGCTAAGCTGGGAGGGATGCCATGGAGACAGGGGTGGCAAAAGGCTTGGGGTGAGGGACAGCAGGAGAATTTGGTGAAGAGTGGGTGGGGCCATGGAGGGCCATGGGTCTCACGGGGCCACCCCCGGCTGGCCTGCCCTGCTGTCCCGGGCCCCTCTGCTCCTGGATGCAGCTTGTGCCTCCTGTCTCCCGCAGCTCGCCGGGGAGGCTGTCTTCCAAGGGATGCTTCCATCACTCATCATGTCAAGACTACCCTGAGGAGGCGTGCAACACAGCGTCTGCCAGAGCCCACCAGCCGTGTGGGAAGCCTGTGGAAGGTGCTCCTCTCGCCATGACTCCAGCACTTTCCCTGGCTCCTCTGGCTTCCACCCTGCCAGCAGAACCTCCAGCTGACTTGACCAGAATCCCACTGGGCACCATTGCCATGAGCTCAGCTCCAGGTCACTCATGTTTGCCACTTCCCACTTCAGGCCTCAGTCACATGAGCTGTCGCATTGAGTTCCTCTACCGGTGGAACATTATCAAGGTCTTGTTCTTTCCCATGTTATCACACTTCGAGTCCCAGCAAGGGCATGCGTCCTGCCACCAACCAGTGCCCTCATTCTGGAGAGGCCCCACAAATAGGGAGGGAGAGACTGATAGCCCCTCAGTTGCCAACCCTGATGTCCAGAAGCTGCTCGAGACAGAAATCACGAACAGAATACAAACGAAGGTCTGGGAAAAAGAAGAACAAGATGATCCAGGCACTCCTCAGATGCTCGAAGCACCCAGTACCACATCTGGGCTGAATTTCCAGTGGGGCCTACCCCTCCTGTCCTTGGAGCCTGCAGATCTGAAAGCATGTGAGGCTCAACCCTCGGCCCTTCCACGGTTCACTTTTTCCCCCTCTGCCACCTGTGATTCTGGGGCCCACTTGAGAGCCGACATTGCAGAGTTCATGGGAAAGCCTCTTGAGCCCCCTCCAGGAGAGAAACATAAGACTTTGACAGCAAAAGCATCAGTTCCCAGCCTGGCCTGTCCCCTCCCTGCAACCTCACCTGTTTGTAAGGAAAACCAGAAGGCCCTGGGAGAGACCCTACCTGGTGATGGCCGTGACCTCTCAGAGGCTTCTCTGACTGCACAGGAGGGCCGGCCGCCTTCCCTGAGCTTCACATTCAGCCTCTCAGACAGAAATGGGCAGAGTGGGACTGTCGTGGGGGCAGAGCAAGGCCGTCTACACCTGAGTCCAGGGTCAGCAATGGCCAGGAATGAGCCTCGGGAGGAGAGTGGGGGCGAGGCCTCACCAGAGCCCTGCTGTGGGGTGGCAACACTGGAGGGGGAGTCAGGGTCCCAGTCTTGGAGCCAGGTCAGGGGAATAGGAGACACCCTTGGGACCCAATCCCTCCAGATCTTGCAAGAGAAGGAAGAGGTTTTTCGAGAAAATCCATTCAGAAGAATGTTGAGATGCTTCCTGCCATGCTTGAAGCCCAACAAGGATGAAGCACCAGAGGATCCCCTTGCAAAGGCAAGCCCCCATCAGCCACTGCCCAGAGCCAGGCACAGGTCACACACAGCTCGGCGTCGGATGGCAGGGCTGTTCAAGCACCATCGACAGTGACATCCTTTGTCTGGGCCCTGGGAGAGAAACTGAGGATTCGCCAAGGACTTCGTGCCTCCCAGATGAAGCATCACAAAAACCATTTCAGCCCTGGGAAGCTGGACACACCTGTTACCACGACGTTCCCTCCTCCCCAGAGCAGAGAAGAACGATGACAGAGGACAGTCCCCAAGATGCCCCCAGGGGCCACAACTGTCCTAACACGAAGGAGTGGATCAGAGACAGGCATGGCAACTGGACCTTGCTATCCAGGCAGCTGCAGTCCCCAGCCAAACCCTGCCAGCCTGGGCTGAGGGTGGCAGCTGCCTCAGCCCCACATTACCCACCATGCTGTCTTCAGATACATGTCTCCTGGGGTGAGCCAGACTGTGCCTGACACACCTTTCCTCAAACAGGGAAGTGGAGGAACAGACAACCTGGTTTTTCTCCTTAGTCTACCCTCTGTGCCAATGGCGTCTTCCTACCCCAATTTTCCCCAAATACATGTTTTTTCTCCTGAGAGCTGGTGGCCTCTGTCTGTGCCCTGCTAGGGGCAGAAATGGGGTCAGGCTCTGCCCTTCCTGAGTGTCTGCTTTGGCTTCCAGAAGGGACAGGGCCATGGGGGGAGGCTGACCGCAGCGTGGCTCACCCGCCCTCACCCCGACTCCCTCATTGCACCTGAAGTCCCCATCACGCTGTCCTTACAAAAACAAATGGAAGCTTTAGGATATTTCCAGATGAGCAAAACCTCTAAGACCCAGTATGGGTCCAGCCTGTCCTCTCCTGCGTTCTCTTGCCCTTGAACTTGTGCAGTGTAGGGAGGGGGTTTGCAGAGGCTCCAGGAAGTGTAGAGACAAGTTCACAGGTCACAGAGTGGGGAGGGGAGTGTGGGGCAGTGCTGGCCCTGAGTCCAGAGGGGGAGGAAGCTTGCCCCGCACCTTGAGCTCTTGGTGGGAATAGATGATGCTGCCCCAGGAGCTTCTTCTCTCCCTGCTGAAGCCGCGATGGAGATGGGCCTGCGCAACCCGCTCAGCCCAGCGTCACCCTCCCTCTGTCCTTGTCACAGTCTGGAGGAGCAGCAACGACGACTGTGCTTCTGGCTCTGAGGGCAGGCGGGTGGGGAGCATGGAGGCTGCTGCGGGCCGTCCCCCTCTGCCCAGAGGAGCAAGGGGCCCTGCTCTGCTGCACCTGCCTTCTCTTCCTGGGGAACGGAGGCGGGGGCTGAGTGTGTGGCGTCACCATCTGATGGTGGGACGCTGTGCGCCTAGGGTGGGACGTGGGGGAAGGAGGCAACTGCCACCAGAGTTTAATCATTTACCTATTGAAGGAAAGTTTTTGATTTTTATAATTTTACCCCTTACGAATAAAGCTGCTATGAACGTCTTGTGATGGTTTTTGTGTAAACCTAAATTTTTCTGCATAATAAATATCAATGGCGATGAGTAATGAAGGTTTGAAAATGGGCCCCACTCCGGGATCTTAGAAGGAAATGCATCCTGCATTACAGATTGAAAGGTTGAAACAGGTCAGAGAGAGTAAACCTAACACCTTGTCTTTGATTGAGCCATTTCCTGAGGAAAAGTCCATTACCTAACGCACGGCACAGATGCCGAGGACAGGGAAGGGACAGGTGTCATCACATTTAATAAAACACTGTCAAAACGTATTTGGATAGGAGACGCATGACCTTTAACTTGTCAGAAGCTCTTTGCTCTTCGTCTCCAGAGAACATTAGACAGAGATCCACACCTACGGAGCAGGTCAGCTGAATGAACTGGATTTCCTGTTCACCAGTTGAATTAATAAACTGATGGTTGCTGTGGACCCAAATTGTTTGTCAATGAACAGACAACTTCAGTTTCTCATTTGAATATTAGCACAGAATCACTAGATTAAATGATAACAGAATCCCCTGAATCCTAACAGAGCAAGATAATGTCAATGTTCCTGGCCTTCCTATGGCTTCTCCAGGTCCTATTGAAATCAGGAATATTGAATAGAAGAGAAAAGGGAAGCTTTCTGAAACTCGTCTTAATATCAGAACAGCAGGCAATTCCTGTACTTCTGTCTTCTGTTATGACAGGGATAGAAATCATCATGTGTGTCAGGGAAATAATCCAATTTCCCTAAATTTTGGGTGCACGGTCTTTATTTAATACCAGGGGTTCCTCTCTACTATTCACACTGTTCCAGTTGGATTACGTTTTCTGGAAGAGTTTTCTGATTGATTTACATTTTAAAACACATTCGCTCCTCATCCTTTCTCTGAGCTGGGAGGCAGGCCAATTCAGGGAACACGCGTGAGGCCTGAGTCACGTCAGTCCCTGCTCTGAGCAGCTGGCTGTGAGGAGGCCCTGACAGACCCAGAACTCTTGTGTGGGAGAGCCTGAAAGCAGGACTCGCTATCTCAGTCATGGGTCTTAGCCCAGGGTCCCCATTTGGAGGAATGGCTCCCCCTCTGGTCTGCAGATCCCAGGAGGCAGCTGCTGCTTTGGGTGCAGCTCCACCTGTGGGATGAGCCCAAAAGGCAGTCACAGAGCAGACCCTTCCTCTGAGCTGCTGCCGGCCACCTAAGCGGTATTCCTTTGGTTTTTGCTTTCCTTAGCAGTAACATGAGGTCCCAGGCTGCACCACAGAGACATTCCAACGGCTGGCCTCCCTGGGAATGCCCTATGGAGGCCCCATTTCCTTACACTCTTCTCTGGAAAATAGTGACTTCTGTAGTCACCCAAAGAGTCTTCAGGGAATCTATGGAGGGGTGTCTTTAAAAAGAGCCCTAATGTCTTCACAAGAAATGGAAATGGATGTCTAGAACAAGTACCGAACAGGGTGAGGTTTTAAACTTCGTGGAATATGAGAAAATCACATTGGGATTGTCAAGAATATGATGCAATGGGAAAATAAGTCATCTAAAATACTGAATTGCACCAACGTTTTCTTCATTGACTAAGGCGATCATTGGATATCTCTCCATCATTCTGTTAATGTGATCCATTATAATGATTAATTTTTTTGAATGTGAAAACAACCTCACCTTCAGGAACTCAACTCTCTTTAATGGTTTTTGTGTCCATTTGCATTTCCCCAAGAATTTTCATTTCTTTATCTGAAGTGCTGGTGGATTTCTCTCATCCTCTTTCATTCTCTCCACCTTGCTGGAGTTTACCACGCATTCCAATGCAGACATCAGCATTGTGCTTCCTAGTAGAGAAGGCTGGGACCAAAGAAACAGGCAAACTGGGAGACGGAGGAGGTGGACATGGCATAGCTGTGAAGGAGACCAGGAACCTCACGTTTCAAGAAAAGCCACAATCTCCTTCATGAATAGAGATGCACAACTCATAAACAAATCGTAAGCAGAATGTAGTATAGCAAAGATGAGAAGATTTGTGATACTAAAGTGAACACGTACCTTGTGTTCAGATCCAATGACAACTCGTAGCATTTGCAGTTCACAAATGAGGAAAAGTAGTAGGATATTTCTTCAAAATGGTACTTTAAGGATGAAGGCTAAAAATTTCAATTTGGTGGCCTATTAATAAATACATGATGATTCTTTTTCGTTTTCCCTTATTTCTTCCTTAGTTCTATGATGCTACGCCCGGCATATTTGAGTGCCCAGTATCTACTCATTGGCTTATTGGAGGGCCATCCTTATCATAGAAGGACAAGCAGGTCAAAATTGTGTTGAGCTCTGTGGGGTCAAGAACACAAGACTGAGAGTCAAGGGACTGTGCGATAGGCCCACCTCTGCCACACACTAGACATACGACATAGGCAAGGAAGTCACCTGGCTCTGACCCTACACAGGCTTTGTCTGGAAGAGGTGTGCCTGGGTCCACAGAATCTCAAGGTTCCTCCATGTTGCTTGAACCTGTTAAAATAGTTCCTGCTCTCCAAAAGTTTGGTATCCAGGAGAAAAGTCAGCCATACCCGTGGATGATTCTGCTACCAAGCTAATGCTAAAAGTGGTTTAATAGAAGTGGAATGAAGTATTTGGAGAGATGGACTTTGGAAGTTTCTCTGAAATTCTCTAAAAAGGAGGCTTTTCTGGAATTGGACTTTAAGTCACGCTTAAGATGTTACAGAACTGTGGGGAAGGTGCAGAGCAAAGGAAAACCTTGATCAGAGCAGCAAAGCAGCGTTGCAATGCTTAGCATCCTCAGAAGCGGGAGTCACAGACGGTATTGGTGAGAAGTGAGCCCCTGGGAACGTGCCGGTTAGAATGCCTGGACAGAATGCAGAGCTAGGGGTTGGCCCAATGCTCTCAGTAATTCCATGTTCAGAGACACTTCTGATGCTCTTTTGTGTATCAGATCCTACAGATACATATTATTTCTGCCACACTTGAACTATTAAAGCATTCAGTGGTCAGTATTTTAAGTGGAACCATGCCTGACACTTCATAAATGCGATGTAACTGTTTTGAAATAGAAAGTAAATAACTTCCCACTATGCCTGCTCCCTTTCTTGATATGCTCCATGTGTTTCTTAATTTTCCCTACATCATTTGATCATAGGAGGCAATAACATAGCAGACTGGAATTCCTGTCCCAGCTCCAGAAAAAGGTCTTTGTTTGACTTATGAAGAATAAAGTTGTTTTATCTGTTGAGAAAGACATTAAAGATCACTTTGGTGCCTGCTAAGAGAGTTACTCTGCAGCAAATTATTCTGTGATCATGCATATTCACAAATTGGAAGTGTATTTATCAGATTAAGATAAAAATAACAACTTATACAATACCTCTTTTGGTATAACTAAGATTATCTTTTTATCAAGTAAAAGATTATCTTCCCATAGGTCTTTATGTATAATTGTGTAATAACTATAAAATTGGATATCTAAGCACTCGTGTGTACCAAAGGGTTCTTAGAATCAATAATTTGTAGTCAAGAAATGATGCCTCGGTTCTTCAGGTGGATTTCTAGAAGATTAAGTCCAAGGGAGGAGCCACGCAGTGATGGCTCCTTTCCTGCCCACTGAATCCATGCTCCCGACACTCTCCCATCAGCCCACAGTACCCCACTTACCTTCCTTCCACAGAAATTAGGAAAGAGGATGGGCAGTGGGTTCCTAATAGCTTACAACCAAAATGTACTATGAAATGGAACTCAGGGTTTCTAATGGGACAGACACCCATTTACTCTGAGAAGGCTGTGCTATTGAGGTTACGTGAACTTCTGGCGTATGCAATGTGAGGGTTACCTGCGGGAACTTCAATTTCATAAATGTGCGATGTCTGTGTGCGTATATTTGTTTGTTTTATGTACTTCAGGATGATCAAAGAAAATAACAAAGAAACTACACTACCAAACAGAAATTCTCTTCCCTTTCTTTCCTATTTTTTTTCTTTTGATCGCGGTAACGTTGGATTATAACATTATATAGCTTTCAGATGTACATCGTAATATATTTAGAATTCTGTGTAGATTACATCATGTTCACCACCCAAAAACTAATTAATCCATCACCACACATGTGAGCCTAATTACCCCATTTGCCGTCCCCCCTCGCCCCTTCCCCTCTGGTAACCACCAATCCAATCTCTGTTGCTATGTGCTTGTTTGTCATTGTTTTTATCTTTTACTTATGAGTGAGGTCATATGGTATTTGCCTTTCTCCCTCTGACTTATTTCACTTAGCATACTACCCTCAAGGTTCATCCATGTTGTCACAGATGGCCGGATTTCATCATTTCTTATGGCTGAGTAGTATTACATTGTGTATATATCCCACATATTCTTTATCCATTCGTCCTTTTTGGGCACCTAGGTTGCTTCCAAGTCTTGGCTATTGTGAACAATGCTGCAATGAACATAGGGGTGCATGTATCTTTACGTATTTGTGTTTTCAAATTCTTTGGATAAATACCCAGCAGTGGAATAGCTGGATCCTATGGTATATCTATTTTTAATTTTCTGAGGATACTCCATACTGTTTTCCATAGTGGCTGCACCAGTTTGCACTCCCACCAGCAGTGTACGAGGGTTCCCTTCTCACCGCATCCTCTCCAACACTTGTTTCCTGTCTTGTTAATTATAGCCATTCTGACCGGAGTGAGGTGATACCTCATTGCACTTTTGATTTGCAATTCTCTGATAGCTAATGATGTTAAACATCTTTTCGTATGCCTGTTGGCCATCCATATGTCTTCTTTGGAGAAATCTCTGTTCAGATCTTTTGCCCATTTTTTAATTGGGTTGTTGGTGTTTTTGTTGTTGAGATGTATGAGTTCTTTGTATATTTTGGATATTAACCCCTTATCTGATATATGGTTTGCAAATATCTTCTCCCGATTCTTAGGTTGTCTTTTCTTTTTGTTGATGGTTTTCTTTGCTGTGCAGAAGGTTTTTAGTTTGATGTAGTACCATTTGTTCATTTTTTCTTTTGTTTCCCTTGCCTGGTCAGACACGATATTTGAAAATATGAGGCTAAGACTGATGTCAAAGAGCGTACTGCCTATGTTTTCTTCTAGAAGTTTCACAATTTCGGGTCCTACATTCAAGTCTTTAATCCATTTTGAGTTGATTTTGTGCATGCTGTAAGAAAATGATCTACTTTCATTCTTTTGCATGTGGCTGTCCGGTTTTCCCACCACCATTTACTGAAGAGACTCTCCTTTCTCCATTGTATGCTTTTGGCTCCCTTGTCGAATA